CCATGAACGACTTCACAACTTTAGAAGACTTTTTGAAAAAAAACAAGCCAACATTAGATTTAAAAGCAACAACACCAGCCCATGTTTCCATGCAGCAGCAGATGGTGACTTCCATCCATGTCAATAGAGTAGCTCCAGGTGTTAGCCTGAAGTTTAGCAATTTTATATTTTATTAACATGTATTATTCAAGCATATCTATCAAATTGACATATTAATTTCTTTTTCCAATAATTATATACAAATATTTACAATTGACTTCCAAAGTATCTCCAGTTTGTACTCAACCTTACTTCAATGTTCATTCATTGTCTTCATATACAAGCAATTTTAAATATTAAACCCACTGTGTGTTATAACATCAGCTTTAACCATCTTGATCTTTTATAGTCATTATTATAGATGTTTCCTGTTAATATTCACCTCCATTAGCCTGAAGTTTAAAGAAGTGATCCAAGGTGTTCAATTCTATCCTTAAAATGTTGGACAGCTCCTGTGAAGCTCACCTTAAAACTCGAGCAACTTCACTGACCCACTGACATGGAAACCACTTGTCTACCATTGGCACCATGTCATCCATGGAGAACAAGATTTCTCTTACTCTCTGACCAGATTAGAAATGCAGAAAAATATTTTGTTGTTATGTGCCATCAAGCTGACTTCAGCTTATGGCATCCCTGTGAATGAGAAAGCTCCAAGATTCTTGGTTATTGACTGCCCTGTTCAAGTCCTGCAAACTATGGAAGATATTTTATTTTTTAAAAAATTAATATGGGCTAGTTCAAGGCTGGGACTGCATCTGCACTGCACAAATAATCCAGTTTGACCCCACTTTAACTGCATGGCTCCATGCCATGGAATTCTGGGAACTGCAGTGTTGTGAGAAATTTAGCCTTCTCTGTCAAAGAGCTCTGGTCCCACAACAAACTACAATTCCCAGAATTCCATAGTAATGAGTCATGGCAGTTAAAGTGGTGTCAAACTGGATTTTTTTTCTGCAGTACAGGTGCAGTCTTGGTTAACATCTAGGAAAATAGATATTGAAAGTCAAGTCTGTATGAGGTAGCCAAGTCTTCAGGCGTTACCTCCCAGGCTATGTAACTGAGAAATACATTCTGTACATGTTCAGAGACACTCTCTGTTTGGAAGGGGTACATGTTTGGAAGGGATACTGTGTATCCCTTCCAAGCATGTCTAAATTAATTTGTGGCATAGGAGTCTGTTTGAAAATCTGGTAGATGAATAGGAAGAGTACTATGAAAGCTCTCGATGCAGAATTTGTATTTTAGATGTCAAGTTCATCATTCTTCTGTCCTTCAGCTTGACTCAGTTATGGAGAAAAGAAGGAAGGCAATAAATCTGAAGGGTGGCAGCAGAGTTATGGTCCACCGATGTGCTTGGAACAAAAGGAGCAGACTGTCTCCAAAAAATAAATAAACAAGAAAAATGATCACAATACAGGGAAGTCAGAAAAGTATTAGCAGCATTTCTAGCAAATCTCTATGCATGTTTGCTGAGAAATAAATCCCACATTTGTTTGCTGGATTATATTCTGCCCATCTCCCCAAACTGAGGCTTAAAATGGCTCACAACAAGATTATCAAAAGTGTGCAGACGAGAAGGTATAATATCAATAACAATTAACCAAATTATGTTATTAAAAGACTATGGAATTGAAAGCAATTTTTAAAACTATGAATACAAAAGGACAGCACTGATCTCATAAAAGTCCCTTTCTCTGCAGCTGGCCAATTGCTGAAAGGACAACAGGGAAGGCCATCCTAACCTGACTTGGTAGAGAGGTCCAGAGCCTGGGAGCAGCCACCAAGAAGGTCCTCTGATGATGGCAATACCAAAATCACAGGCTTCCTGAGCCTGGGAGCAGCCACCAAGATGATCTCTTCCATATTTCCACCCAACTGCTTCTGAGGGTTGCAATACCAAGATAACAAACTTCCTCAAAGATCTTAAAGGCTAGGAAGGCTCATGTAGTCCCTTTAGCCAAAATGGGTCCAGCTTGCTCAGGTTTTTCCGTTGTGTGCTTTCAAGTCATTTCTGACTTACAGTGACCCTAAAGCTATCCTGGGCAAGACTTGTTCAGAGGAGGTTTGCTTTTGCCTTCCTGAGGCTAAGACCATGTAACTTGCCCAAGGATACCCAGTAGGTTTCCATGGCTGGGAGGAGATTCGAACTCTGGTCTCCCAGGCTGCATCCGCCCTGCAGAAATAATCCACTTTGAGCCCACTTTAACTGTTGTGTCTCAATGCTATGGAATTCTTGGAATTGTAGTTTTGTGAGGCATTTAGCCTTCTCTCTCAGAGAGCTCTG